TTTTTTGAGTAGTTTCCTTAGTTAGTTTCAGTATCCGACAACAGGAGGCTTTTAACAGATGACGTCCTGATGTTAGCTTTGCTGCTGCTGTTAGCTGTCCCTGTCAGCTGCAGCCACTGATGCTTTCTAGACATCGTGATTTCCCAAAACTGAATAAATACCACACATGGCAACACAAAACTGCTTTGCTAGCTCAATCATGTTGTAACTAAGATATCCACTGGAAAAAATATTTTTTTCATGGACCGTTTAATGAGTTACTGAGTTATTACAGACACCGCTAACGGCTAACAGCTAACGGTTAGCCCAGCTAATCTACGATAACCATGTTATTAATTACAAAACGTGCACACAGAAATAGTAATCTTTGTTCAATCATTGTGTTCATAGACTATAAATATATATATATCTATATATATATATATATATATATGGCTAAAACTACCCAGAAGTATTTGTAAACAACAAGGCGATTCCCTCTATATTTGGGACAGGGAAATTCGATCAAATTGTTTGTTTGTTTTTTGTTTGTTTTTCATTTTAAATATTTTATTATCAAATTTTCAATTTAACAAAACCTACAGAACACATACACAACCTCCGCCCCCACATACAAACCAAAAGAGGACCTAACTCAAAAAAAGTAGGTTAAATCGAAAATTTATTGATAATACATACAACATGAAGTAAGAGGCGGCACAGTGGTGTAGTGTTGCCTCACAGCAAGAGCGTTCCTGGGGATTTGAACCCAGGGTGGAGGAGCCCCTCTGTGCGGAGTTTGCATGTTCTTGTGTCAGCGTGGGTTTCCTCCAGGTACTCCAGCTTCCTCCCACAGTCCAAAGACATGCAGGTTAATTGGTGACTCTAAATTGTCCGTAGGTGTGAATGTGAGTGTGAATGGTTGTCTGTCTCTATGTGTCAGCCCTGTAATAGTCTGGTGACCTGTCCAGGGTGAACCCTGCCTCTCACCCAATGTCAGCTGGGATAGGCTGCAGCTACCCCGCGACCCTCAAGAGGATAAGCGGTTATGGAAAATGCATGAACATAAAGTAAAATGCAATATAAATAACCCTGGCTTAATCTGAAGACCAACGGTGTATCAGTCTGGTATCCTTTTTATAACAAATCTGATAGAAGTGTTGGTAAAGTATCTATATACGTCAAGTAGGGCTGGCAAATCTTCAGTAAGGTGCTGTATTTGTTTCTTAGAGTATACATGATTTTTTCTCTGAGCTAGATTATCATACCCTGTGTGTAACTAATTATGTGCCTTACCCTTATTGACCCCGTAGCTTGAATTGTCTAGGAGCAGGAGCACGGATGCAAAATACATCCATGAGCAGGAGTCAACATGGATGCAGGGGTCAGTTGCAGGTGCCAGGTGGGAGCTTCTCGCGAGATTAAGTATCTCGTCTCCTCGTTCAGGAAAAAAAAAATTACTCAGAAAAACAGAAAAAATTACTCAGAAAAACAGAAAAAATTACTCGGAAAAACAGAAAAAAATACTCGGAAAAACAGAAAAATTACCACGAAAAACAGAAAAAATTACTCAGAAAAACAGAAAAAATTACTCGGAAAAACAGAAAAAAATTACTCAGAAAAACAGAAAAAATTACTCGGAAAAACAGAAAAAAATTACTCAGAAAAACAGGGCTTTTTTTATTTGTCAAGTGAATGCAATACGCTTCCGTACACAACTGTATGGCTTTAAAACTGTTCATTTATTTTTTTGAAAGTGTGGATTTCCGTGTTTTCCTGGGACAAAAGAAGAATAAATAAAAACAAAAAAACAAACTGGTATCAGTATCGGCCCGGAATTTGAAAATGGGTGCATCCCTAATCCAATTAGAAAGTTAATAAGTACATTTTATTGTTGTTTTAAAATGTCATATTTAATTGTTTACTTTTTACTTCACTTTTTAATTGTTTGCTTTTTTATTGTTATACTATTATAACACATACAACTTTCCTAGGGTGCTAAATGTGCTGAGGCCACTGGTGAAAAAAACATTATTTAATTCACCACAACACTTAAATAAACTTTTTTTTTACCCACTACAGTGTCTCACCTCCCAACTAACATGTTATCTATTCATAACCACAAAATCTACATTGACGTTTTTTCATTTTGTGGTCCACATTTAGCTCGCTGCTGAAAATCACATCAAACCAAATCATCAAAAATAGGGTACGCTCTGACCCACATGCAGCAATAAAGCATTCTGGGTAGTTTTGTGAACCAGACTCAACTCGAAGTAAAGCTTTAAGGCGAGTTTGAGTAAGACTGTATCAACAGAATCACCGGTCAGATCTGACCCGAAACACCACAGACGTGACCTTTTTTTTTTTGGAGAATTTTTCAACACAAATAAAATGATTAATGATGGTTTCGTTGTGTTTATTTAGTTGGATGATTTATAAAAGATTTTAACTTGAAATGGGTCCAATTTAACCAAAACACAATAGGAAGGTTTAAGTGTTCAGGGAAGATTAAATTTGAACACCTACAGTCCCAGAATCTCCATCAGCTGAAGATCAACTAATACGATCAAAAGCTCTGGAACAGCTATTAAATGGATCTTGTGGTGAGAGTGTTAAGCCGATAGTATGGTAGTTTTTCCATCTATTCCACGTGGTTCAGATTCACAAAACAAGTCTTCAATCTCATTTGAACTCTCCGAACTGAACACTGAAGACATCAGAGCTAACCTTTTGACCCTGTTCACATTCTCATTTCTTCACTCCTGAAGGCTCGTGGAAATGAGATCAAGAATCTTTCATCAAGCAGATGCGGCCCACAGAGTGTTGAGTCACCTTCAAATATTGAGGTAAATCATGCTCGAGGATAATAAGTGATGTAAACCTGCTGTTTTCTCACATAAAAATCCCCACAAAGGTTCTGACGAAGCATTAGTGAGTCACAAATGAGCATTCATAGGAATCTAGAGAGCTGATTAAGTCATCACATCCCCTCAGATGTGTTTACCTTTCCTGTCATGTCAGCAGATCGTTCATGAGGTATCAGTGCATCTGTGTGTGTATTCACCAGAGAGCTGTGTGTGCACAGATCTAAAACACCGTAAACTTAAAAAAAGAAAAACAAAAGAAAATCAAAACAACGCTGTCGTCTTCTGCTCTTTCCTGTCATCCCCCCTCTTTCCTCTCCTCTTTCTGGCCGGCTGCCATGTGTTTCTGCTCCGCTAGGCGGCAGCATTGAGCCGCTGTCAGAGATCGAGTGTGAGATGCTGGGTGGACGAGAAGGAAAGGGAAAGACACAGAGAGACCTGGAGTTCTTCAGTGAAATCAAAGACTGGCTTGTTCCTTATTCTGCGCTGAATGAGGGAATGAGTAAGGAAAGAGGTGTGAGGAGGGATGAAGAGGAAAGGCAAAGGGAGATGGAGGGATTGAGGGGATGAGAATGAGACAAAGAAGAAGCACAAAAGTTAATTAAAAAAGACAAGAGGGGAAACAACAGCAGCTGAGACTCAGTAATGAGAAAAAGAAGAAGAGCAGATGTTGTGAAGCAAACTGCCGAACGCTTTTGCTTCATTCACACTCCTTATTGTCTGAATGACCTTTTGCAGGTGTGTGTGTGCCGCAGCTGGGGTCAGGGTCTCCTCTCTGACTCTCTGTTACGTAACGGCCGGTTATATCCCTGATCACAGTCAGAGAGGACCTAATTGAAGCCAGTCATTTTCTTTGGAATGGAGGTGGCGCAGCAGCGTGCCGAGAACAGCCCCGACTTCCCCCAGTGCCTGCTCCTGATTGATCTCACTGTTTTCTAAGGGGTTAGGAAGGAGAAGCCAAGGCGAGGACGGGGATGGGGGACACGTGGCCGGGGAGCTGGAGTCGAACCCGTGACCCCTTCCGGTTACGGGGCGCGTTGAGTCAGTCGGTTCAGCTTGCAGGTCATCGGAGTTTAAAGTCAGTTTTGATTCAGCGGGGAAGCAGACAGAGGGGGCTGACGGGATGACGATCAGGGAATTCTTACTTTCGAAGAAATTAAGACAGAAAGAAAGAGCGGGATTTTCCGTTTCTGTTGTAGTGCCTCTGAGCAACACGCTGCTCCAGTGTGCACAAGAGTCAAACATGAAGATAATAAGGTGATAATGTGTAAATCAAATGAACACTGAGGAGTTCTGAATCATTTCTGACACAGTGAAACCAACATTTCCGCTCCTCCAGGCTGATTTTATCCATTTGGCACAGACACATTCTGGAAACAAATGATGCCAGTTCCGGTCCGAGGTCCGCGATTGGCGTCACGTGATGCACCGGGAACAAGCACGTGACAAAACACGAAGATGCGGAGCGGGAGACGCGGCGGATAAACTACAAACGTGCGCCAAAGGGCGTGCGTAATAGCGTGCGTCTTAAATCCCTGGAAAGTTTGGAGCGATCTCTTTTTTTGTTTTGTTTTTTTTTTGTTAACTGCAGTGGGGTTTGTTATTGATTCTAATTGAGTCTAATGCTTCTACTAGCTGGTAAAAAATTAGGTGACATTAATCCCGACGTGCGCGCGGCGCTGCTTCAGTCTGCAGGTGATTAGTTCAGGAGTGCGCACGTACTGCACGGAGACAGAAGTCATAAAAGTAACTCCAAGCCCCGCTTCTCTCTCCTTCCCTCTCCCTCTGTCTCTCTCTGGTTGGCGCTCGGCCAGCTCCAGCACGCTCCAAGCCTCCTCTCCTCTTGCGCCGCTTGCCGCTCACTTTACACCACCCCTCCTTCTGAGAGGAGAGAGGAGGGGAGGGGAAAGGGGAGGAGGAGGGGGTCCTCCAGGAGCTGAAAGAGGTGGAGCAGAGGGGAGGGATGGAGGGAGGACGGGGGGAGAGGAGGAGGAGGAGGAGGAGGAGGAGGGGAGTCTCTCTCGCTCTGTAGCCGGCGCTGGAGTGAGGTGGGGTGGGGTTGGAGGGGGGCGACGGGAGCCCTTGGCCGCCTATTCGCCTTCCAGTTGCCTCCGCACTATATAAACACTCATTGGTGCCTCTGGCTTGACGCACACACACACACACACACACACGTACACACACACGCACACACACTGAGGGTGACTTGTATAGGCAGCCAGAGAGAGAGAGGAGAGGAGAGAGAGGAGCGCTCTCAGAAACAGAAAGGTACACAGAGAAGAGAGTGGACGACAGAAAGTAAGAGAAGGAGAAAGAGGACGGTGGCTCCTGAGCATCTCCTGCGCACCTTTTCATTCCTGCACGCTCACGGATCATAAAAACTCTACACTTCATCTTCCTCGTGTTTGCTCCAGAGAGAGATTACAACTTCTGTAAAGAGGCTTTTGTTGTTTCTTTTTTCTTTCTATTTTTTTTGGAGTTGAGAGAGACGCGATTCGTGGAAGACTTTTCGTTCATTTTTTCCCCCCCAAACCAAGTCTTTCCATCCCTCGAGAAGTTTTAAAAAGTAAAGCCCTTGTTAGTTCCAGGGCTCGGCTTCACTTTTTCCACGTGTCCCACGGTGTCCCAGCTCCTGACATAAACGTGTCACCTTGAGATTTTTTGCTTGCCTTCAAGTCTCAGACTCTAAAAGAAAAAAACAACAACTTCATTTTATGTCACTGACCCACAAACGAGACCAAAGATGAGATTTCAAACATCAGGACAGTCCCCAGTCTTGTGTGGTTGTTGTTCGAAATGCTTAAATCATTAAAACAAAGTGCGTTTTAATGGTTTTATTTTTCCACTCTACAAGCTGAGGTGTGATAGTGAAGATACGGGGAGCCGGGCAGCGCTGCTCACCTGTAGCATCTCCTCCGCTCAGCCGACACTTTGATTTGCACTTTTTACGCACATGAAACGCCACTTTGTGACTATTTGAAGAAAGAGATCACATCTATCTGACAGGAAGAACCGCACTCCACACAGTTCATTCATTCTGAAGTCACAGCCGCCACGGCTTTGGAGTGCGTAAAGGAGCATTGCGCTTTTACGCAAAAAAACTTGAAACTCCAACTTTAAAACCACCACAGGGATCCAGAGCTGCTCGTTTTTGTCACAAATACTAAGTTTAAAGAAACTTCCAGCAGCTTTTTCAGAGGCGTCCAGAGCTCCAGAGAGACCGCAGGGCTCTCCATCACCATGCTGTTCGACACTTTCGACCTCGTCTCGGCTCTGGCCACACTGGCCGCTTGCCTGGTGTCCATGGCCCTGCTCCTCGCCGTCTCCCAGCAGCTGTGGCAGCTCCGGTGGACGGCCACGCGGGATAAAAACTGCAAGCTGCCCATGCCCAAAGGATCCATGGGCTTCCCCTTCATCGGCGAGACCTGCCACTGGCTCCTGCAGGTAAGCGCGCCCTCGGGGCGGGGAGGGGGGGATCGGTGGAGCGAGACACGGTGTCTGGGTCAGCGCGGGTCCCGGTGTCTGCACGGACACGGAGTGGGAATTTATCCGTGTGTGATGAAATCACTCTGATCTATTTCTTTATTTGATTCTTCAACACTTTCTCTTTAATTTAGCGCTCTGAGTTCATCCATCGCGCTTTTAAAAAGTGTGTTTTAACTGTGTGCGCTCCTTTAACGGATCTCTGTCTGCAATATCAAGTTACTAATGATGAGTTAGTCTGCAGCGGGATGGTGGTGATCCTGATTTTGACTAGCACGGAGCATTTTAACCACACATATTGCTGCTTTTTCATAGATTTTGCCACATGCGCTGCGTGCGCTCCAGCCAGTGATGCTCACAAAGCAAATACTCGCATTTCCCTCATCATATTAGAACTTTTATCAATTTGGCTCAACATCTCCTGATGCGCACTGTAAAACCAGCTCATAGAGTGTCACATCGGCGCGTGTAATCTCTATTTTCATGCGTAATGTGTGTCTTTAGGTTCATTTAAACTGTTTCATCCTCATCTCCTGCACACAGAGCGACTCCGGTCGGCGCGCAGCCGCCGGCAGCGACACACACACGCGAGCATCAAAGACCTTCACTTCACTTTTGATTAGTTTATAACCCTGCAATCTCTCTCTCCCACTCTACTGGGGCTCCATCAGGCGATCACATCAGTTTGTTGTTTTATTATCTCAGACGGGAGCGTGTCGGGTCAGCCAACCGCGGCGCGACTTTCCCTGCGCGGAGGGGTCGAGCTGCAGTCAGGCTGATAGGCTATCGATCATATCTGATACGCCGCTGGCAATTAGTGCCGGCGGGTGTGTCTGCGCGGAGGGCAAATAGAGACTGGAATATAAAGCCTCACTATCACGTCATGAGCTCACGTTGATGTTTAATATGCAGAAAATGACAAGAATGTGGGGATTACTCGGGAAAGTTTGCGCGGAGGCAGACTGAGGGAGGGGAGGAGAGGGGAGCTGTGCACACCTCGCACTCCCTCCTGTCTTCTCCTGAGTCCAGACGCTGCAGCTCCGCTCCCTGCATACTCATCCTGGCTGCATCCAAAGTTCCCAGCATGCTGCATGTTTCAGAAATCACTCCAAAAAAATCCTCCTCTTACTAGTTGATCGGCACACGGAGTGTAAAGTTGCAGAAATCCTCAAACATGCACGTGTGGCTGTGACTTTTTGAAGCTCTCAGAGAGGGATATGGATCATGTATCGGTGACACGCTTCACTCTTCCACCTTTATGCCTCCAAACTTGAGGTAGTGATCTTGTACACAGTGTTTGCTCCCGATCAATCAGCCCCACGGTCCTCTCTGGGCAGGAGGAACTATGCATGAGTCTGAACCTGTGTGTAACCTTCATGTTCAGAGCCAGAGAAGGAGACTTTTATCAGCTGAGGACTTGCAGTCTGACCCCAGTCCTGCTACTCAGCGTGAACTGATGGCTCCCAGGAGCACGCCGACAGACAGAGGTTGGGGGTGTGTGGAGGAGAACGAATAAAAAAGTAAGAGGGAGGTAAAATGTAAGACCTTAAATAGGGGGAGAAAAGCAAAGCAGGGGTTCGACGAGCGGAGGCACGTTGGCCGTGTGCGGGGCTTGAACTCGCGGTGCTCCTCTCCGTTACATCTGACACCGAGCGAGACGCGTTCCCGGAATGCAACCGAGGACCACGGCCAAGTTTATGGTGAGGGGAGGGGGTGGAGTAATGTCAGTCAGATAGAGGAATGAAAGGCTGAGTGTGCCTATACTTATGAGGACCAAATGTCCCTACAAGCGGAGCGAAACCTGGCAGAAGTGAGCAGAGCTTTGGTCCTTTGACCTGATCTCAAAGTCAAAGTTGATGCAGTCGATGAAATGCCTCATGAATACTGTTAAACTGTATGTATGAGAGAGACTGAGATGCTGGGCTGCAGCCTAACCCTCATGTGCTCTGTGGGCAAAGTGAGACGGACAGAGATGGAGATCTGATGGGACCTTCTTGCCCAGATGCTGTTTAATGTCTCAGCTACTGGTCTGCTGCTTGATTGCTCGCGGAGACGACATGTCAGACGTGCTCAGAGACGAGTCGTCTCTCTGCGACAGAAAAGAGCTCCGAATGTGCCAAGAACTGAGGCACACACAGCTTTTGATTAAGTTCAAGAAATTAAGAGAAGAAGTGGCAGATGTTGGGTTTTTGTTGCTACATGGTCTTGATTAAGTGTGTCAGAACAGAGGAACACAGCTGGGCACGGTGCATGTCATTTATTTTAGCATTTGATGAAGAGATAAGAAGTTCTTGATTTATGCTTTCATGTCAAATACAGCGCCGAACCAAGTCTTACAAACACTGTTTTTGAGTCAAGATCTCCTTTATGAAACTTAAACGGCTGTTCTACCAAACTCACAGAGATTCAGACACAAACTTTAAGTTGATGTTGAACTGGTTAGCAAACATCATTATTCATTTGGAGTCATGATTGTGTCCACCTGATGAATTTAAGTCCCATTTTCACTCTCTTTTAGCTCCGATTTTGGTCTCCACCAACTCCTGACAAAAACAGCTGGCTCTTTAGCTGCCAAATGCTCCACTATGTTCACCAGCTAAGCACTAACTTTGTCTATTTATTGTTTGGTGTTGAGCAGGTAACGTACAGTGGGTTTTTAAAGCTGCTGCAGCCGAAAACGATGCCGCAAGGGTGAACCAAAACAGTAAAGTTGTGGGCGGGAGACAAGCGACATCTTTCATATTGTCACATTGTTTTTACAAAGAAATACTGAGTACAGCTGCTTTACTGGAGGGTAATGAAAAGTAGTTAAACATTGTGTGTTTGTATGTGTGAATGAGCGATATGTGCATAAATTCTTTGGATGAACGGCCAAAAATCCATTTAAAGGAGCAGTGTGTAAGATTTCGGGGGATTTAGTGGCCCCTAGAGGTGAGGATGGCAAAATGCAACCAGCTGAAACTTCTCCTGGTTAGAATTCCTTCAGTGTTCATTGTTCAGCAGTTTAATGTTACAAATCGGTGTTTTGGCAGCGCTCTTATTAGCTAAATATGGTAGCTGACGTGAAAATGAAAATTGCCCCATCTAGAGCCAGTGTTTGGTTTGTCCGTTCTGGGCTACTGTAGAAATATGGCCTAGCAACATGCCGCACTTCGTGGACGAGGACCTGCTATATATAAGTAGATATAAACGTCTCATTCTCAGGTAACAAATACACAACAATTCTTAGTTTCAGGTGTTATACACTAAAGAAGACACACTTATTGTATTATATTCTATTTCAGCTGACATATCACCCTAAATCTTACACACTTGGACTTTAAATACGTTAAAGTTTCATCACCTTCTTTTTTCTTTATTCTCGTTTTCTTTTGCTCTTTTACTCCTGCTCCTCTTTTCTCTTAACGTCTCCTCCAGATCTTTTACTACATACTTTCTGTCTGAATGTGAGTACATATACATACAGTTTATTTTTAACTCGACACGCGGCAGTAGAAGAACATTTTTGTGACATATCCATTTTAAAGCGTTCTGCAGTCCGAAAAAAAAGTTTTACGGTCACTCTGCCAAAGACCTGTCTGCTCTCATTAGGTGCTGGAGCTTTCTGAAGGGACGGTGCCAAGCAGGAGTGTTACTACCTCGCAGACACACACACACACACACACACACACACACACACACACACGTACTGAAACACTACCTACATGGTGCAGATTCATGCATATGTCGAGATAAACACAGATACACCAGTATGCTCTCCATACACATGTTTAAACACAAAGCATGGACGACCACACGCACTCTCATTCATTTAAATGTTTACAGTCATAATGTTATTTATGAACACAAACATGAATCCACACATTAACATGTTTTCACAACTTATATGGATATTTTTATAAACTACACCAGATGGAAATTGACGGCACTTTTATTTTTATTTTTCCAGAGAAACGCTGTAAATTTCAACAAAATGTTCACAAGTCAGTTTAAGTCATTTTGTCAGGGCTGTGGTTGTCACACTATTTTCAGCAACGTACCAAATATGACATATTTTTTCAGCTACGTACCCCCTGACCTGCGCAAATATAAAGAGGTTCGATAAATAATGAGGTGAAGCCCTTTAAACATTCTTCCTGATGGACTACTGATGTTTTTTGTTGGTTCTGATTTGGCTTTCGTTTTCACGTCGTTCGGCTGGTTTTCAGCTGTATTGCTGATGTTTAAATGACAAATCGATTTTCTTGATTTTCGTCTTTCATTCAATATTATAATGATTAATGATTGTATTGTAAATAGGAATGCTGAATATAAAATGTGGTTTGTGTTATTTATGTAACTTATTATAGTATAATTATCTTAGGATTTATGCATGACTGATATAATCAAGATTTTCTCACGCCCTGTTTATACGTTTTCTTTTGAGAAGAAATGCACCAAAACTTTGTGAATATCCCACATAATCATGAGCCAGTAATTCATACATAACTTGCATATTTTGGAAGGCTGCGATCACGTAAACAGCGCACTGATAGGAGTAAAGGAGGAATCGGTCCCCAGTGGTCCACCTAAAAAGGCAGGTTGGGGTGGTGGACGGGTCACAAAACATAGGACTTTTCATCAGGACACCGGTGTTCGGAACCACGTGAACTTTGAGTGATTTAAAGGTTTGCTGTCACCCTGATTCTTTTCGTGAAGGTAACAACAGTAACTTGCCTAAACCTTAAGACGGCTAACCACACTCTTTTCCTTAACGTAACCACAATATCTAATGTGTAGGATATCATATGAATCCTTGTACGAGGTTACGTTGATTACATTAACATTTAATCAAACTCTCATGTACCTCCTGCAGTACTCCAAAGAAACCCTAGGGGGTACCTGTGTCCCTATTTGACAAACCAATGTAGGGGGTTACATTAATTGCGCAAAAGTTAACGTTATGGACACTTTTTTTGTTT